CCTCATCAACAATAGCTTCACATGGAGAACATCTCCCCATGAATTGTAATGTCTTGTGGGTAGTATATCCAAATGCTAGTATGGATCAACTTTCTATTTCCCTCTTATTTTATATCAAATCAACCACAGTTTAAGTTTAAGTTAACACTCTAAATTTCAGGTTCAATTATTAAAATAACGAAAGCTGAAGCCACCTCAGGAAAACCTCACCTTAACTCGGATCATTTACACCCCCTATTTGGATTTTTTTTGTGTAAATCCCAAATTAAATCCAGGGGAATTGTCTTAAAAACTGTCCCTAAGGTTTAGGAAATGGACTTACTGTTTATATATTTCCTTAAAGTACCCTCAAGTTTTTTGACGATTTCTCCTATCATTGGTGTTCCATCACAAATTCACAATCCACTCACATGCCACACCACGTGACTTATATTTTGAGAAAATGACAGTAATACCCTTTTATAGTTGAAAATGCCCCATTGTAATTGTTTCAGATGCAGCTAGAGCCTCAAAACAAGGAAGATGCTCATGGGATTATTCTGATGAACAATGGTTCTGCTCATGCGTGCAGAAAGAGGTTGGTTTGTTCAAGCATTCTTAAGTGGATCTTATGGAACTTTTCTCAAAGACCTTGCAAAAACTAAAAATTTTTGGAATGGAAAACTAGAGGTTTCCGACTAGACCTCCTCTGTTTAAGTTCAATTAATGGAGCTTCTTAGAAGGGGTCAAAACTTAAAAGGATCGACTATTCCTCATAAAATGTATAGGAGAAACGGAACAAGCAAAAAGGAAATCTTAGTATCTTCCATAATAATGGCGTCCAGTAACAATACCTCAGCCACACCCTGTCACCACTCACCATCGTTTTCCAAGAAAAGCTTAAGGAAAAGTGGTTTTCTAAGATACACTCTTACCTTCAATCTAATGGGCCTCCTTGCTGGAATTCAATCTTAGTTTGGAACCACCCTCCCTTGCAATTGTAGCCACCATAGCGCACAGGTCATGCTCTTCCTAGTGGACTTGATGCCGTAAGTGGATTAACCAAATACTATCAAGATTTGTTCTACCATCTTTGAAGAAAAAGAGACAGTTGATAGATGTTAAGGTTGTGGCAGGAGCTTTATGGCAATATCAATTGGACCAAATGGTACTTGAGTCCTACCTAAATTATTTTTGGATTGTGTATTGTTAGATAAGTTTGTTTTAATTTTTATTATTTTTATTACTGATAAGAACAAAACCGTCCACCAAGTGGCAGCATGTGGGGGGTAAAGTTGTCAATTGACGAGCTAACTTATCTTGGCAAGCTGATCTGGTCCTGACGAGCTATGACTTGACCTGGTCCTGACAAGCTACAAGCTGATTTGACACTAATTCATAACATGTATAAGCAACACGTGGCTGAGTTGATTAGAACATCAATGCCAATGCACTCCATGTAGGCCCACTGCCTACCACGTGCACACGTGTCAACTAAGGGAACGGCAAGTTGACTGAGCTCCGACCACGTGTGAGAAACATGTCTGTTCTTGGATGAAGCCCCTCTCCTATAAGTAGTGAATCCCCCATTCATTTGGACACAACTGAACATGGTAGTATGCTACAATGAACAATGAATGCTGGACACCTCGACACATAAATCTCTCAAGCTCCCCCTATGAGCTCTTTAGCTCATCAAATGGAGCTCTCCAACTCCCCCTATGAGCTCTTCAGCTCATTACGTGGAGTTCACCATCTCTCCCTACGAGCTCTCCAGCTCCCCGTATGAGCTCTTCAGCTCATCACATGGAGCTCATCAGCTCCCCCAACGAGCTTTTTAACTCACCGCATATAACTCTCTAGTTCTCCTTACGAGCTTTCCAGCTCTCTAGCTCACTTTATTTTCCCTTGGCGATTACTGACTTAATCGTTTGGAGTTCACATCTCTCGGATCACCCAGGGCCTCTTGCTGACTTAACTATCGGAGTTCACACCCCTAGGATCACCCGGGGCCTCTGACATCTCTTATGGTTGCAGGTCTCTCTTACTAGCTGAGGTGACACCCTACTCTAGCAACTTTCCATCCTTGCCCTTGTGGCCAATTTTGGTCCTCATCAATTAGATTTATTAATTTTATTACTTTTAAATGTGATGCACAAGCTTTGTTAAATGGCATTTAGACAAGAGTCTCAGGACATTTTTAATTGGGCCAAAGTGAGTCCTATCTATCTTAGCATTATTATTGGGTTATGTATTGTCAAATAAATTCAAAAAAAAAAAAATCTAGAAGGGATTAGGGAGAGGGAGAGTTACTTTTGTATTAAGTTAAATTAAAAAAATGAATTTTTATTGCCTTTAATTAAATTATGTTTTTATTAAATTGAATAAATAAAATAATTTTTGTTAAATTTGTTAACAATTTTTTATTGTTTTTTATGCTAATTTTTGTTGTGTATATCGTATTGATCGGCCCTACTCTAATGCATGAAATACAAGGTTTTTTAGGTTGGAAGTATTGATACACCCCTTCCATCCATCTTTTGAATATTGGTGCGTGGAAATTCATCAATATGCATCCAAACTCATTTTCCAACATTTCTATTTCATTTTTTCTCTCTAATGGCATTTAACCTAACAATGCAGAGAACCTTCCTGGTTGTTGATAAGCTATATGATTCCCTTGTTGACACTGATCAACAAGGGGAAAATATCAGAAAATTGATACGAAATCTTGGTGATCTAACAATATTTACCGGTTGCTAGCAATAGAAAAAGCAACAAATTTTGATCAATCAAACATGTTTGGATGCACATCAAAAGGGGAGCACGGATCTTGTACTTTTTGTTATCATTCTAGATGTGCCGCCACTTTAGTGTCTTGACTCTTGTGTACAGGATGTGTACAGCATTTTGTAGTCAATGAACTTCATGTGCCACTTGCGCAGTACAACTTGGTAGGCTATAAGTATGATGTCATATATTTAAGGGTTCAACTATGATAGTAGGAAGATATGATACCGAAAAAACTTATAACCAATCAATCAATCGGCATCACGAATTTTAGCTTAATTAACTGTGCATCACTTCAGGCATTCGTAGAAGGGGAATGCTAGTGCAATATGCATTTTAGCTTTGATGCAACTTCACTTCAAAGCAATCTTACACTGGAAAATGTTGTCACTCACAACGTCCATGCACCACAATAATGAGTTAGGTTGTGGCACAATTTAGAAAACAAAATCACATTCAGAGAAGTTTCAAAGAAAAGAACTAAAGCCGAAATTAATAGAAAGAACAATTATTCATTGAATACTTAAAAGAAAATCAACTAAAACTGGCATAGCTTTGACCCAGTTACTCTTTATATAGTTTACACGCTTATGACTCCTACAAGAAAATTTCTTAATCTATGAGAATACTCTTTAATATAATCCTACTAAAACTCCTCAAAAAGAAAGTCTTAATTGAACATAAATTTGGAAATCATAATGTAATACTAACTTGGTAATTATGAACTAAGATAGAAGTTTCACGTTGACGCTAACTTGGTAATTGTGAACTAAGATAGAAATTTCATGCCAACACTAACTTAGCAATTGTTTACTCGATTGGATCAGTAATGTCATCTCAACTTCTTATGTGTCTTGGAGTGGTCCCAACATGCATAGAAACTTATTGGCCTTCTCTTGTATTGCATCATCGTCCCTATATATACTAAGATGAGCCTTCAAAAACCAACTTTTTAAATGTTTACTCAATTGGTTCGAATCATATATTGCATAGGGTTGTATTTGGTACCATTGTTGTTTCTACCTGAAATGTTTACTTAATTGTTTCTACAAATTAGTAAGAGATATGTATTGTCACATCATATGTGAGAATTACTTTAGCTAACTAAGATTATTAACTTCATCCCCTTTGAGCAAGAACGACCAATTTGATGTTTCTAGAAAAAGTCTCTCTTACATGCATTTTTAAGATATGTCTATTTCAACCATAAATAACCTCAAATAACAATTATATGTCAATTTATATTAAAAAATCCAAAACATTTCAAGTAGAAACAACAACGATACCAAACACAACTTTAATGGCCAAGCAAGATTGGAGTTGCAAATGGTATCTGTTTGTCCGAATTTGAATTGAATTCTATCCACTCAAGGGTGATTCCAAATTCAATCGTGTTTATAATGGGACCATATATGGATTAACCCCTACCCGATTCCATATGATTTGATTTGATTTAAATAGCTAGGTATGCTTTTGTATATCTAAAAGTTAAAATCTGTATTATATCTATTAGTAAAATTGTTTGGATGTTCTACTTTTACTAAAGTGTTATAAAGGTTCAAGCTTCATACAAAATATTTTCAATTCATTTTGTTGATGATAGGGTGGCCATGAGCTCGGATTCAACTGAGCTTCAAGTTGAATTCAAGCCTTTATTAATCGAGGCCTAATAAAATTCAACTCGTGAGGCTCGCGAGCCGAGCTTTACATACATACATATAATAATAATAATAATATTTATTATTATTATTATATAATATTTTGATTTATATATATAATAATAACTAATTATTATAATTCTTAATTTTTTAAATATCAAATAAAAAATATTTTTTATATATAATTTTTTTAGTTTTATAAAACATTTTTCTCAAGTCGAACTTGAGATTAGGAGCTTTTGACTCGAGTTGAGCTTGAGCTCAATTGGTGAGCCAAGCTTGAATAGCTAGCTATTCGGCTCGGCTCGGCTCGGCTCGAACCCACCCCTAGTTGATGACATAGATATAAAGGTCAGTTTTAGTTCATTTTAATAATGAAATATGATACTTCGATCTTTTTACTTTAATTTATTAATGCTATCCAATATCTGATTACGACCCAAAATCAATTCCAATCCAATATAAGTTCAATGGATAAAGATTTCATTCGACTCTGTACACTAAAGAATCAAATTTAGATCTAGTTTACTACGTAAGTCCAATTCGTTTTAATTTATTTGCAGCCTAAGCAGGATTAGTTCTTTTTTCCTTCATGGAATGTAAGCTGCAACGCTTATTTACCCAAACATTCTTTTTCTACAATTTTGTATTTGGTGCAAAAAGAATGAAAAGCTGTGTTTTCTATGGAGACATATATAGGGAAGCACATTACTTAGGGTAAGAAAGTCTTTCCCTGTATATGTTCAAACAAGAAAATTTAGATCTCTAAGCTTCTCTTTAATTGTCTTCTCTCTGTCTTTCGCCCTCCTCACTGGTGAGCCTCATATCTCAGTTTCCAGGACCAAGTTCAAGCTTGTAGGAATTAAGGGAGACTGGACAATCCCTTCCCTGTGTCTTCAACCAGTGCAGCAATTTCTTGTTGCTCCTCTAATCCCTCTTGTTTTGTGTTCATACTGATTCAGTAAGATGATTTCCAGGAGACACCCTGAGCAAAAGGACAAAAATCAATCAAATTATCTCCTAGGCTTGGAGTCAAGCTACTGCAAATAATCTTGTTCTCAATTTGGGAAAACAAAGTTGATCAACAGCAAAAGAAAAAGGGAAAACAAAGTATGAGTCATGGGCTTACTGAATATTCAATCCAGGTTTCTTCTTTAGGATGTCAGGAACAGTACCCTGGAGGTTGTTGTTTTGGAGGAATCTGTTGTACAATCACAAAACCAATTAAGCTATACATGTTGAGATATGTCACATGCTATGACTTGGGATCTATGGCTGATAATTGTCTGTCAATTAAGAAATCAAGAAACTTACATCTCACGTAGCTTTGCGAGCTTCCCCAGTGATTGGGGGAAGGGCCCTTCAAACTGGTTGTTCTCCAAATGTCTTCCCAGTCAATTGTAACAAACCAGATGGAAGCATAGAAAATGTCAATGAATACAAAATAATGAAAGATAGAAATTGTAATGAGGGAGAGCTTACAAGGTCACCAACTCATTCAATTGAAGCAGATTTGGAATAGTGCCTGTGAGCTTGTTTCCCCCAGCCCAACTGTAGTGATATCCACTGAGATGAGTCAGTAACATGACTTGCTTAATAAGCCAAAAGATTTAAATTGAAAGTAAGGTTTATGGAACAATATTGCCTACAGATGAGCCAGTGCAGTTAAATTGGCTACGCTTGGGGAAAGTGTTCCAGACAGGCCAAGGTTTGTTAGGTTCCTGTAACAAGTCCAAAACAAGCAAATCATTGTCAGAAAAACTTAGGCTGATTTCATTGGTCGCAGGAAAGGTGAAAATAATACAAGCATTCCAGACCCAGACATTTCACAACTCACAAAGTGGTAACTCGTGCAAGATGTCCCTGAGAACATGAAACCCCTGTCCATGAGTTTTCATGGGGTAGACATGGATCTCCATGCCAATCAGGGGGTGGGTTGTTTAGCTTTTCTGCTATGTCTTCCATTGCCATCACTGTCACACAGAGAAAAAGTTAGTTGGGCAACAAGATGGAGATGGAGATAGATTTGGGGTTGGAATTCGAATTGGATCTGGGGATACCATCTCTAGTAAGAGTTCTTCCACCAAGAGGAAATATTTGAAGTATCTCCCCTGCATTAATGATAGGCCCAACAGGCACTTCCTCCCCTGGAGTCAAGATGATCTCTATTGTCCCAGAGAGAGGCCAACTTGTGGCATAGACTGAGACACCCTTGTCTGTTGCATTGAGGTCATTATAGAAATTCATACCATCCACAGTAACATTAAAGACTCTCCAGCTGTATGGGCTTGGGCTTCTATTATCTTGGAAGTAGAGGGCAATGTAATAGTTGCTTCTGGGGAGCGGCACAGTTGGCCACTGTATATGGAGCGCCTTGCCTGGGCTGGTAGTGATGGCCGACAGAAACACCTTGGATGGTGGAAAGTTCCAAAAATCTTCTGAAGATACATTAGACTGGCTAGCAACAATAGGGTTGGAGTCTTTGAATGGTTGCCAATATCGGTTGAATGCATCATCTGGAAAGCTAGTTTCAAAAATCACATTATCAAAATCACAAACAACTTCTGGGTGCCACTATGATTTCATGGAGGAAAACAGATTTGTTCATCTTTAAAATTAATGCTGGAAACTTTTATGGAAATTGAAACTACAACTAGTCTGTAATGCAGCATTCATATGGGTTCATAAGTTTTGCTGTGATATCCTCAAAGGGCATAAAAAAAACTACCAGAACCCATCTGTGTAAATCCATCAGGGCCCTTCCATTTCTGGGTCCCTAATAAACAGTTGAAACATTCAAATTCTCAGTAATTCTGACTCTCCAAGCCAAGAAAATAACAAGCTATACCTTTCAACCAGAGACGGAGAACAAGAGACATGGTTCCATTGTTAATAATCAGAAACTAGAACAAAAACTCAAGGAGAGACATGCTCAGAGAATCTGTACCTGATCATATCGCCATCGTAGCCGAAGGAATTTCGAGCTACAGTAATAAGAGCATGCTTGGAGAAATTAGTCGAGTTATACATGGAACTCTCTAGGATATCCAACTCTAACGCATTGATAAATGGACTAGAGACGGTGTGCTCATTCCTGGCAAGACAAACGCTCATCATCTTCACACGAGTGACGACAATGATCTCATAGTAGGAGCTGAGGCCATTAGCAAAATCATCTGTTGTATTAACCACGCTCCATTTGGTCCCTTCAATGATCTGATCAAAAACTGGAGGCACCTTCCCTCCATCAAAACCCCCATAGTAATAAATTGTTCGAATCATGTATTTCCCTCCTTTGCTCACCGGGATCTCGTAGCAGTACTTGCGAGCAGACTTGTCGGGGAAGAACCTCAAAGTGGACAAAAGGGGCATCAAGTTTGGGTCGTCCAGCGTGGTTTTGTTCCCGACGGTGATGAAACCGTCGTCGGCGATCCAGTCAAGGCTACCCACAACGATTTCCTTCGATCCGCCAGAGTTGATGCGAAAGCCTGCCAAAAGTACGTGAGGTGCCCATGATGAACAATAACGAGAAGAATAGATTAATACAAGAAAGAACGAAAACAAAGGTTGGGTCGGGTTATACCTCTAGGAGGAGAACGAACAGCATCAACTGCGAGAGGAATACTGACAAGCCATAAGAGAAAGATGGAGAGAGACATTGCCAGGAAGTACTAGAAGCCTGGAACAGAGATTGAACGTGGAATTTTGCTTGAGAGAGAGAGAGAGAGAGAGAGAGAGAGAGAGGAAACGATGAATCAGGATCATGAAATGAGAAAGGTTGGTTAGTCTGGTCTGGTTTTCACAGTGTTGCCACATGGAGAGCTGTGAAACAGAGTTAGAATGAGAAGGTGGATATGTTAAACTATTTGACCAGGTCAAACCGGCCAAAGGTGGGCAATCAGCCTAGAGAGAGAGAGAAAGAACCAACTGCAAGTAGGCAACTAGATAGGTTAATGCAGGTATAACATGGATCAGGCCTTGGAAAACAAGGTATAAAATGGTTAGGCACGGGATTTTTTAATAGAAAGCTAATAATAGAAATATATGAGTAAATAATTGTTTTATATTTTTAAATTTTTAAATAATTAATAATTATTTATATTTTGGATTCAACATGATATAGGAAAGATATGATATCTGAATTTTTTTTTACTAATTCGCCTATATCATAAATGTGGTAGTCAATCAGGTGTTATTTATCAAAATTCATGGATGGATTTTGATTGGTCAAAATTCTTTCAATACTATGTATCTTTCCTGCATCATAGATTTTCCCTTATATTTTACAAAAATAATAATAATTAATTTCAGCTAAGGTTGCTCATTAAACTAGTGAAACTGACGAATCCGACCAACTCAACTTGAGTTGGTCAGTTTTCTAGTATTTTCGGTTGGCTTTGGTTCAACAATTTCCCAACCCAGCTAGGTTGGATTAGTTTCGCTTTAGCCATTTGTAAATTGAACAACCCGACCATATATATATTAGCCTTTTATATTTTTAATATATTTCTTTAATGTAGAAAAGTGGGAAAATTCCCATGTTTCTTAGACTAAAATATTTTATATCATAAATTTATTTTTAATAATGCCACTATAATTTTTTAAGTTTAAATCTTTTGAACCGACCAACCAAACAGAAAATCGACCCAAATCAATACAACTCGAGTTGGTCGGTTTTTACAAATGGTTAATCGGTTTCAGATAACTAACTCCCCAACCTGACTAGGTCAATTTGGTTTGGTTGGCCAAACAACCAACAATCGAACCAAACCAACCCGTGAAAGCTCCTAATTTCAACTAAATTAATAGCCTAATCTCTAATAAGCAACAATAGTTTAATCTCCAATAATTATTGAAAATATATAGCTAAAATACATAACTATTGAAAATATATTTATAATGAAAATACAATAAATACTAAAAAATATATTAAATTAATCAATAAATAATGTAATCTCTAATAAATATTAATAAATAAATTATAACAAAAATACAATAAATATAATAAGTACAATAAACTAAATGTAAAATTTTAAATAATAGTATTTTATTTTCTATTAAATAACAAAACAAAAAATAAATTTATACATAATTATTAAAAATATAGTTATCACATAAAACGATAGATAATTAATGAAAATACAGTAAATATTAATTATTATATATAAATATATAATAAATATATATTAAGATTTTAAAATTATTATTAATAAATATTAGGGAAAATTCCCAATTAGTACCTTGTACTTTGGGTCTAGTGTCAATTTGGTCCCTGAACTTTAAAATGCGACAAGTTAGTACCCAAACTTTTAAAAGTGGCAATCCAGTACCTGCCATTAACTAGTTGTTAATCAGCCATTAAGTGACATTTTAAAAAGACACAAATGCCCTTCAAGTGTCATCGAATTTTATTTATCAACTATCCAAACATTGACAAAAATATTAATAGTCCCAAATCCTTGCCTCTTCTATTCAAGAAAGTTAGGGTCACCAAAATGCCCACTCAAACGTAACCCCAACTTTCTTGAATGGAAGAAGCAAGGATTTGAGTGTTAATTTTTTGTCAACGTTTAGATAGTTGATAAAGAAAATTAAATGATACTCAAAGGACATTTGTGTCCTTTTCAAATGTCACTTAACGACAAGTTAACTACTGATTAATGGCAGGTACTGGATTGTCACGTTTTGAAAGTTTGGGTACAGAATTGTCGCATTTTAAAGTTCAGGGACCAAAGTGACACTAGTTACAAAGTACAAGGTACTAATCGGGAATTTTCCCTAAATATTAGTTGTTTTTAAAGTTATTTTCTAGAATTATTAATTGATATAAGTGGAATTCATTATTTATAATGCTATTTAGTTATTTAAATAATATCATTGTTTAACTTTTAAAATATTAAATATTTATTGAATTTAATAATCTATAAAATTATAATTTATATTGCTATGTTATTAATTATGTAAAATGTTAAATTATTATTAATTTGAATGTTATGTTATAATTATTTTTCTAGTTTTAAATTTTTTTTTAAATTTATTGCATAATTTCATTATTTTAACTATTTAAAATATTTATTAACTATTTAGGCTATTGGGAATGTGTGTGTGGGAGAGAGAGAGAGAGAGAGGGGTTTTAGGTAATTTTTTTATGGGGAAGGAGAGCATCTCATTGGTTGTAGGGGTGGATTCGAGCCAAGTCGAGCCGAATACTTGGCTACTCAAGCCCAACTCGTTGAAATAGTATTAGTATATGCAAAAAATTATTTACTATTATACATAAAAATAAAAATATTATTATATATAATAAAATTATTTATTATATATGTATGTATGTATAATAAAAATTATTTATTTATTATACTAGACTCGATTAGGCTTGTAAGCCTCACGAGATGAACTTCACTGGGCTCAAGCTCGGCTCCACTTTCCGTAGGAGGCACCTCGGCAAGCCTCCTCAATGTCTGCCCTCCCGATGTGCCCTTGGCCTAGCCCTTTTTCTTGGCCAGGGCGCTCTCCAATATCATTCTTTTGGTGTCCAATGGCATCTCTACAAAAAGAAGCAAAAAATCAATACCTTGAAGCATAGTGACAGCTGACATGTGAAGTAGACGACACAGGGACTTCTCTTACCAAGAGAAGCATAGTTGAGCCTTGCAAAAACCAAAGGGAGCTTGGCCTCCACTAGGGGCTTGGCCTGAAGCATTTCCAACACAAGGAAATGGGTTACCATGGAGGCTTCACCGTCCTAGAGCATTGGCTTGGCCTTCCTAGCAGCTAAATACATCTCCCCTCAACCCGACTTGAAGGACCAACCCTCGGGACAGGAGAAGGAATTTACTCTTCCAGTTATGGATAGATGAAGGGTTGTCTACAGGTTGGCCTCAGCAGGGATGGAAGTAATACATGCTGGCCTCTGAGGTGTGCTTCCTCGGCACAAACATGGCTCAGAACATCTTCGACATCAAGACCACTTCTCGAAGCCAAGCCACCACCAGCATGGCTAAGGGTGATCCTATACCACTTCAGCAGCTCGGGTATCAACGGATGAAGGGGAAACCTGAGGCCGAACTCTAGGAAGTGTTGGTAGACACTGATCACCCCTTCCTCTGACATCCACGACCGATCACTAGTGTTGGGGACCCTCAGCCTATAAGATTGAGGGATGTGGTACCTCCTGTCTAAGGATTTTACCTGGTCATAGTCAAGGACGCTATCATGCTCCGAGCGTGACAGATGCTCTACATGCATCCCTCGGGTAGCGTACTCAGCCACCGTCCTCGGGCTGAGCTCGGCAACCGATTCCCTCTCTATCACTAAGGGTGATCCCTCAGCTTCTCTAGGCACTTTGGAGTCGGCACTCTCACAGGGAGAGTCCTCATCCCTTCGACTGCACTTAGCGTCCCTAGGGGTGGCCCTCTCCCTCGGCACCTCAACCTCTCAGCACGGGGTTGGGACCTCGGCAACCGATGAGCCTCGACTGGAGCTAACAAGGGTTGGGGTATGATAGGAGCTCACTCCCTAGGAGCACAGGAGTTTATAGCATTCTGGACTGGAGTCTGAGAAGACTTGGCAAGGTGTTTACCTAAGATGAAGACGAGGACGAAGATTTCTAAAGGCAAGAACTAAAACCGAAGGCTCTCGAAAGCGAAGGACTCTAGGAAGCAAAGGCACTCAAAGGCAAATGGTGAGAAAATGCGTGACTGAGGCCCCTATTTAAAGGAGAATGGAAGGCACGGATCGCGCCAAATCTAACAACTGCCAAACGACTGCCTCTACTACCTCGTCTGCCAACCGACACGCATCACCTGCCTCGGGAAGATGAAACGATGCTGAGCGAACCAACCTGCCTCCTCACTATGACTCGCTGGTCCAACTAGTCGTGTTGACTCAGTAGGAGCACGGCCCCGATTCACCCACATTCCATCCCTCCGACGATAGCGACTCCACAACCCGTCGCAGGCACGGCTCCAACTCACCAATTTAGGGACCTGCGACCTACGCAACCCGAACCCGGCACCGGGGCACGCTTCCCTTACGGCCCACAGCAACACAAAAAGAAATTCCCTCACAAAGCAGCCAAGTTACCAATTCGAGCACCCTAGCATTCCCTCCTCGGCACCCTTAGCCGAGGCCGAGGCCTCAACGGATTCTCCATCACACCGGCAAGGCGTCGGAGGACATACCCTACATCCACACAAGGCTAGGGGGCAAGTCTCCCCCTCGTCCACACATAACGGTAGCCTTGGAGCCGAAGTCGAGGCCCCCTGCATGAGCAGTCGAGGCCGAGGCCCTACAGGAGCCTCGACTGCCACCCATGAAGAACGAAGTCAAGCCGACACCACCGCAGGCCACTATGCGGGCGAAAGGCCCATCGACACCTCCCAGTACGAACCAATGCACTCCCTTCGGCCGACGCCAAGGTCCTCTCATCTTAGGCCTCCACCATGGCCTCGGGAGTGAGGGGCAAATGATGTAGGCGCAGATGGCCCTAACCATTCGCCAGCTTACACATGTTAGGCGGCACACGTCAGAGCGCGACCAATCAACGTATATGCAATGCCTAGCTTAGTGGGCTTCAAGGAACCAATGGTGCGAGGTCACTTGGCGGGTTCAGATGGCCATGCACCCCGCATATGGACTCAATCCCCATCGTTTGAGCTCACCTACCACCAAGCGGTTTCAAGTATAAATAAGAGGTAACCCCCTCCAGGTAAAGGATCGGATACTTGAGCTTTCTCACTAGCACTTGAGATCTATTTCTCTCCAGTGACCTTGTTTGGGTGCTCGCGCCTCAGACCTCGTCCATTCCGCACCTTGGTACTAACTTGAGTGTCGGAGAGACCCAAGGCCTCTGGCATTTTCCCTCTTGCAGAACCGACCCCTTGGTCCTCGACTACCTTGGACACAAGACGCAGCGGATCTCGGACCTCAGATCTTTATGACCCAAGTCACTAGTCCTCTGACTCCTCAGTCCTCGGACCTTGGGCGCCTCTGTCCTATTCGGGCTTAGGAGCAAATTGACAGTGTTGTCCTCGACCAATCCGAGCATCAACAGTGGCACTGATTTTTAGATAATTGACATTGATGTCAAAAATTGCCTAAAAAAGGAGATTGAAAAGCAAAATTGTTTATGCTTCGAATTCTCTTCTTTACCTTCCTCATGCATATCTTAAGTGGGACGTTTGGAAGGTTTAAAATGTCACACAAAAACCAACATTTGTGGTAAATAGACCATATATGGACTTATGGGCAAAACTATTACTAATGAAACCCCCATCCTCCCTTTGGATATAAAAGCCACTGCACAATACGAGAAATATGAGTAGGGGTGTCAACGGTATTTAAAAATCTAGTTTCGAATTCGATATTTGATAAAATCGAATTGAATTCGGATAATTCAAATATGTAATTGATTGAATTCGAATATCCTATTCATACCGAATAGTTAATTGGATTTGAATTCGGATATGACCTGATTCGGTTCGTTAAATATCTGAATTCAACTGATTATTTAATTCTCATATATAATATATAAAATATTTTATATAATTTATATATTTATATACTTTATATCAATAAAATATTTATTTTATATATTTATTAATTATCTTAATTAATTGAATTCGAATCAAATATTTGAATATTTAATCGGATTTGAATTCAGATGTTAATTTTTAATATCCGTCAGTTATCAAATCGAATTCAGATATCGGATTTTTTAATCGGATTCGAACTCAGATATTGCATAATCCGATTCGAATTCGATCCGTTCACACCCCCTAAATGCGAGTTATGATTGAATAGGATCTTTAGAAGTCAAAATGGTGGACTAAGCAGGGTAACCCGTGAAAAGCATATTTTTCCCTTAGATGGGAACAAATGGTTGGTGTATGGCCTTTAAACGGGAATATAAGGTCAAGTGAACCTTACATCCCCTATCTTTATGTTTTTGTAAGACTAAATATACCAACTGTGCAAATTATAACCCCAAGCTGAGTTTAAAAGATGTTACAAAGGAGAAGATTTTATAACTCATAGTGCTTTGACCCAGGAGCTTTCATACCCAAATAGATGATCCGTTAGTCTTAAAAGCATCCATAAACAGTTGTGCAGCTAACATCTTAAATTCAGCTCTAGGTTATAATTTGCACAGTTGATATTTTTCATCCTATATAAATTATAGGGAAAATTCCTAATTAGTATCTTATACTTTGGATCTAGTGTTATTTTGCCCCTCAAATTTTAAAATGCGACAATTCAGCACTCAAACTTTTAAAACATATCAATCCTGTATTTGTGATAACCAGTAATTAGGTGGCATTTGAAAATACGCAAATGCTAGTTGAGTGTCGTCTAATTTTCTTTATCAACCAAATAAGCATTGACAAAAAATGAACAGTCCCAAATCCTTGCTTCTTTTATCCAAGAAAGTTGAAGTCACGTCTCAATGGACATTCTAATTACCCCAACTTTCTTGAATAAAAGAGTCAAGGATTTTGGACTATTCATTTCTTACCAATGTTTGAATGATTGATAAAGAAAATTAAATGACACTCAAAGGGTATTTATCATTTTAAATGCCACTTAACGATTAATTAACAACAAGTACTGGATTGGCAGGTTTTAAAAATTTGGATACTGAATTATTGCGTTTTAAAGTCTGAGGGATCAAAGTGACAATAAACCTAAAGTACAGGATACTAATCGGAAATTTTCCCTAAATTATATTATAATTGACCCGATGATTTAAGGCCTTGTTTGGGATGATTTTTTTGTTTGGGGCAAGCTGCATTTAATGAGCCACTTTGGCTGAACACGATTCTGTATAAGCTACTCAAAGTTTTCATGTGGGCCCCAGCTCGAAATGCCAAGTTGCCAAAACTGCATCTTAAAAACCCTCTAAAACGGAAACTAAGACATAAGAGAAATATTTATGGTACTAAATACACTCTCACATGCAGGCTTCATTTCTTTCGCTCTTCTCACATGCAAGCTTTTGTATGTTACGAATTTGATGGTCAAAGTATGCCTGAGTATAAATATGTGATACTGGTTCATGGATATCTTGCATATTGATCAAGCCCAAGCTGTATATAAATATGTGATTAGCAGTTCATAAACAAAAGTAATTTGAATGCCCAAGAACATTATTGCTCACATAAAAGAAAGAACGAAACGAAACAGAAGAAACAAAATCGATATGTAAAGAAAAAAACACCCAAGAACTTCATGATCACTTTACAAGTTTATATAAGATATTTTCAATGCAAACCAAAGCCTGCACAAGGTCATTGTATTAAATAAATAACATCATCCAAATTATTTCCAGAATTCACAGGTGCGAATATACATCTATTTTTCAGTCTTTACAACGCACAGGGTATCACCGAGACTGAGTCCCCTCTGTTGCACCAATAATAGCTGCAATGGAAGCAAGAATGGCCTGCTCACGAGCAAACACAAGAGTTAAAAAGAAAGAAAAAAAATGTTAAGAGCATTCTTCTGCCTAATCTGATTAAAATCCTAAATTAAATCACATAAGTTGCATTAACAACTTTCCCAACAACCCAATCCAATTATACTAAGAAATCATATATACCCAATCTAAGTAATAAGCAAGAACCATTGATATCTAAAACGCAGTTCAAAGAGAACGAAATCTTAGAAGCCTCAATGCTGTGTCAACTTCAAAAAAGAACATCACCAACACTTCAAGAAACCCTGATTCGATATTGGTCTCATTTTTCAGGAACTATAATATATTTTGGAAACGTGAAACATCTAAGACGTGACATAAAAATAAGTTGTGTTCAGCTTGGGCTTAAACCTAGGGGTTGGGCCAGGCCTAGGGCCAAGATCCAGCTCTTGGGGTTGAGCTCAGGTTGACCCTTAACATATGGGAGAAATGCAATTTATATGCATGTCCAATCAAGAAATCCCCATCAGATGGATGGTATAGATCTTCCACATCAATGGTCAACCCCCACATGATGGAGATGTCATCTATGTCCACCACAACAGAAAAGAATATGCTGTGCCATTCTGAAATGCAAAAAGCTCCTTGCACATGCAATAACTGGGATTGAAAGAACAAAAACTATTTCTCATAAAGAAACAAAAAGTATAGGTAAACATAAACCATGCATGTTTCTGTGATGAGCGTGCTTTTGGGGATATAAAATAACTGGGTTTGAAACAAGAAACATAATTATTAATTTCGTGACCATGTCTGCCATATCAAATAAGGAAACAATCATACTACCAGAAAAACAAGATCTCCTTTATCAAATACCATTGAAATGGTGGATCAAGAAACTTACAGCAATTGTGCATGCAATATATCCCGGTTTCTCTCTATAATCCATTGTTCTGACAAAAAGTAAAACAAATGCTCCAACATACCAGGGAATGGCCGCAAGAAAGAACCCAATGATAAACCTTCATTTAAATCACAAAACAATATTTATCACCAAAACACATGTTCACCAGGAAACCCAACTGAAAATTCCAGGATCAAATACTGAGAATAAAAGAAAATGAAGAAAATTGATAATATGGAATCTGAAAGGCATAAGGCAGTTCATCTTGGAAAAGTAACTCCAGAACCAAATGCAAACCATTTCACTTGTAATATCAAAAATAGGTGCCTTAAAGAAATACTAGTTTTGATTTCAATAATAAACAGAACTACCAAATCCTGAACTATATTGCCAACCCATTGAATTACGATAAAATACTATGAGATCCAAAAAACTAAGATCCTAGTATCACAACAGCTTATTCCCACTCTTTCATTCAGTATGTGAAAATACAGTAAAATTACCATTATACCCTTTCTATTTGTCAACAATACAATAATTCAATAGGCCCTAATACGGTTCAAACACTCCCCCTCATGCTGATGCATAGATATCACAATAACTAGCTTGTTTAGAGTACACTTGAGTTGAGCAACTGCTTTTGTGATTGTGAGGATATCTGTTTGATTATCAGTTCTCAAAAAGGGTAGGCATATCTCATAGAGGCAACCTTCTCTTTAATGAAATGCCAGTCCACTTCAATGTGCTTGGTTTGTCATGCTGCACTGAGTTGTGTGTAATACTAATACAACCTTGTTATCATAATCTAGACTCATTGGGCCTATGTCTGACACCCCGATTCCTGTAATTTTAACTAGAGAAGTTCACAACTTCCATGTGCCATGGTGTTGTACTAAGCTTCTACACTAAAACATGCCACAGTCGGCTGCTTTTTGCTCCACTAGGTAGCTACTTTAACCCCCAAAGTGTAATATCCAACCCTATCAACAACCGGTAGACATGACTCATGAGCAATGTTCTACATTTCTAACATTGAGAAAAGGATTTGGCTGCTGCATCCCATATTTCCTTAGCCATCCTAAGGAGGGGGAAAAAACTTACTGGTGTGAGGGAACATCTACTTTAAGAGCCAAAACATCATCATTATGTTCTTTTTTTTTTAATTTCTTTTGAAGGGCTACACAATAACCCCCAACCCAGGTGCAGGTGGGATTCGACCACAAGTCTCTGCTACATCCAGCAGGAGACCTTACCAACCAGTTCGTTGGCACCTTGCTATCATCATGAGCAAGGTTCAAAATTTTGGTCCCTATCAGTCAATACGTATTGTATCTTTAAGGGGTCAGCATGGAAAACACTACAAAAGCATTTCTGTCATGTTTTTTCATCATGCTGCTGACCCCGTATCATGACCGTATTGGAGCGTACCAGGGTGTATTGGCCGATACAGTACGATTTCCTATATGCAAAAAATGAATTAAAATTTTTTGAGAAAAAGAGGCTTCTAATTCTCTCCAAAAGCCTTCTCTCTCCCAAACTCACCAAATCATCTCTACAAATTTTTTGGATTGTAATATCTTTAAATAAAACCTAAAAACAACCTCCAATACTCAAGATTTTTGAGGTTATTTTCAACTTTTAACAAAATTTGCAAAAAAAATTACTTTTTTTCAATTTATTCAATAGCATGCTACAATATTTTGTGTTTTTTTAATGCTTGGAAATGCTTATATATATGTATAGATGTATTTAATTTTTTGAAGAAAGTTTCAAAAAAATAAAAAATAACAAAAAAAATCCAAATTTCATATTTTTGGTGTAATTTTCCCATGAAGAATAATTGTGTCATAGATCTTAGTGACCTACCATATCCATAGATCTATTGAAATTTCTAAACTATTCGTTTTTTATTTTTTTGTAATTTCTTGAATAAAAACAATTATTTTTTTCAATTTTAGTATGAACAAATATTTATTTTTTTGTAAAACTAAAAATATTTGTTTTTTTAACTTTTTTTTAATTTTAAAATATTTTTTCCAATTTTTAATTCATAGATCTATTGAAATTTATTGGAAAATATTATTTTTTATTTTATGTAATATTTATTTTTTTCTAATTTTTGGTGTGATCTAACCATAATATTTACCATGTTGTAAATCTATGGATGATCTACCACATCCATAAAATGATTTTTTCTGTTACATTTTATTTTTTTAACTTTTGTTATAGGTTTTGTAATAAAAATAAAATAATTGTTTGAATAAGAAATAAATAATTGTTTAAACAATTATAGAAAATGTTTCATTAAATAATTATTAAGCTTATATTTTGTAGTTATAACCTTATTAGGGATACCCTTATGTTGCCGTATGTTGATTATGACATATTTTTTTCATAAAAATCAATAAAGGACATTATTTTTATGTATATATAGCTCATTTAGGCCCTATATTTAATGTTATTGATGTATATTTATGATTTATTGGAGTATCTATAGTGTTTTCATGCGTTTCCATCACTCCATGCGTATCTTAATTTTTTGTCCATATCCATGCATATCCAAGGCATATCCCGATATGTCTCTTAAATTTGTCTTTCTGATACACTTAGTGTTTCTGATACTTTGAACCTTCATGAGGTTCTTAGAATCCCATTTTTCAAACTTGGGGCTCATTCTCACTAGGTTCCTTTGTTTACATCTATGACTGATGTAAGAATGAGCCAACTGTAACCACACAAGGGAATTATTCTCATTAAGTTCCACAGTTCCACTAAATTGATCTGTTTGAACCATTGAACTAGGGAACCTAGCACCACAAGAACCACCCTTAGTTCCAAACTATCCAATCTCAGCAGGCGTAGTGTGACAATACCACTGCTTCAAGAACCCTGGGAGAAAAGAACATGCTCAGAGTGTCTATACTTCAGTCCTTATGACGTCTTGTCAAGAATACAAACTTTACCCACACATTGCCATCATACTGCAAGCACCTATCTTTGAGTTGAATGTTGTGATTGATTTCTGGGTCACAGAACATCAAGTAATAGAGAAAAACCGCTTTGGCAGTAAATATGGTCTGAGAAACACAAAAAATAGTACAAATGTTGTGTGACCACTTCCAAAAGATCCACAAAAGTGAAATTGAACTAAATCCACCTAACTTGAATATTAAAAATGCCTTCTTATGACCTATTAGACAGATTTTAGAGTTTCTACTTTTCTATTTTTCCACAAAAATCAGAAAAAAAAAATATTTGTCTTCCTCAAGAAATCATGAAGGCTTCGTTTTTTGTAGTGCAATTTCATTTGCATTGGCACAAAAGTATGGGAGTGCAAATGAGTTGAGAGCAAATTCTGGTTTGCTAATTTGTTTAAGTTTAGACTTTGTTTGTTTGTTTGGTTGCAAATTAAGTAAAGCAGAGACTGAAGCAAAGTAAAGTAAAACCTAAAGTAAAAATGATCTAGAGCTTACACTCTAATGACTTTGTACTAGTGCAAATTAATTTGCACTGGAAACAAATGGAGTAAGAAAAATTGTAATTTAACCAGTAAATACTCTATTATAACATAGGGTGACCGTACAGATCTGATGGCCTGATGCCACCAAGTCAACTAAGCGATGTCATCTTTGGACCAAACAATCAATCTAGAGAAATTCTGTGTGATGTGATTCCTACTTTGATACCAAGTACTAAATTATGTTGAAAAATAGTCAATATGTAAGAGAAAACGATTGAAAAGAAAATAATAAGGGAAGTTTGAAATAAGATATTTTGACAACCTATTCCACTCTTTTATTCATTAAGAGGAAATGCAGTACAGTGACCATTATAACCTTGCTAGTGTACTTTGAATATATCAAAAAATCCAGAGAATGGTTGCTGGTTTTCTTCTAGTAACAGAGAAATACTAGAAAATAACAAAGAAAAGAGAAGAAACCACTTGTTTCTTCAACACTGATTTCAAGAGGAGAAAGGAACAACTATAGACAAGAAGTCAAGAACAAAGTATAACTCCTCCAATCCTTCCTCAAAACTTTGATAAAAGTAGAAATGTGGCAATTACTAAAACTGTAACCATCTCCTAATTAGATCGAAACTCCTAAAATAGAAACTCAGCAAAATGTTAGTTGACTTAAACTAATAGTTTCTTGAACAAAATAGGAAACTACTAATTGCAGACCTTCCAAGAACATAGGACACTCCATGAAGAAAATAAAGTTAGTTTGAAAGCATATAAATAGAAACTATTGTCAGCTTTCAAATCTAAGTGCAGCCATTAGTTCCTTCTTCCTCTCTCATATATTTTAGTAACTCTGGTATGCTCAAATCTTTCCAGAAATTGATTTGCTATATCCTTTATTGCTGTAGAGGAATGCACTACATCAGAATTAAGGCACAAAACTAGGTACTAAGTTCCATCGTCTCAAATCTCCCCAAAATACATTCAGAATTCCTCCTTAAATACCATTTCCTTGTATGTTTGAAAGCTTTTAGGACTAGCAACTAATTTGCTAGGAAGGGAAAAATATCCACATAAATCACTGATGGAGGACACTATAAGTCCCCAAAATTATTTTATTTCAACTGTTTCTTAATACGATAAAGTTTTGTATTAAGGAAAAGTAGGGAAGGAACGTAGCTCTATAACATTATAATAACAATGGGGTAAGAATTCTAGTAAAGTCAACTTACTTAGCAAACCATGGTTGAAAAGAGGGGTCATATCCATTCTAATCTATCAAGGGCTATATCCATTGTTAAACAGTATATGCTAGAAAAGAACCAAAAGGGAGAGAGAGAGAGAGAGAGAGAGATTAACTGTATCTAGAAACAACTAATATTTGGTTTCACTTTTTGACAGGGTTGTGCACTTAGATGTATGGTAACACCATGAGATATTGTGCAAGCAGTGTAAGTAGAAATATTCTCCTGTAGGATTCAAGGGTTGGACCAACAGTAGGTATAACACTGCTCGCTCAGCACATCTATGGAAAACATACATATAAGATTACATTCTCCTATCAGTTTCTGGTCCGTCCTTAATAAGCATGCATGCTCTAATCAGGGCTCAACCTGGAACCACCAGATGTGAAAAGAGGGGAAAAGCCTCATCTTCTAGAGGAAGATGATGCCATGATGGCGAAGCAATATTCAAACCTTTGGAGCAAGGAAAGTGGTGGTCTTACTATTGGAGACAGTGGCTTGGTCCTAGGGGTTTGAGGAATTTACTACTGTGATGGTTGTAGGTTCTTTGACATGAGAAAAGGGGGGGGGGGGGTTGGCATATGGGGTCTGCAGATCTTGGTATCCATCTAAACAAACAACTCAGACAATCTGCCAAGTTTTTTGCTTCTCCAGTCAGAAACTTAAAAACCCATGCCTCTAACCACAAACCATCCTATAACTACCCCAAGAAATTTATAAGAATCTTTCCTCTGTTTTCTCCAAAAGCTACCCTTATCAAAATCTTACAGGATTTTCCATTCAACAACCATTGAAACTGAATTTTGTTCCTCCTTCGATGGGGCTATCCAAGCTTGATTCACCTGTTGCCTACTGGATGCATAACCGGCAACCACAGTCCACCCTCTCAAGTTTGTTTCTTCCTCGTCTCTTTTCTCTTCTTCTATAGAATTTGTCTAATGTCTACATTTTAATCTTTACTACACATTTTGTTATCAATTAGGATTTTAAAACACCAATAAGCTCACCTCCCTAAATCAGTACTACAAAACTTGAAATTAGTTTCTCAAACTACCCATAATTCAAATTCTGATCCTTAGTATTCACAATGAAGAAGTATATTTGCTAATACCATTCAGATCAAATGGCATGGACAATGATTTAATGGTGTTGGAACTCAAAAGGTCATTCCAATATGGTGGCTTGAGCAAGTATCATTAGAGTATCAAGTCAGATTTTGATTAAGATGTTTAAGGAGTTTATTAAAGTCTTTGGGCAATGCAATCAAGTTTTCTCAGCCAACAATTGAAATGAATCAAATTTCATATATGAAAATCCTAAAGGAGTTCAAAAAGAAATGCACATCAATTATGACAGAAAATAGAGCCATAGTTGTTTTAAGTTCAGATTAGGAGGTAACTAAGTTAAGTGGTAATAGAATATGCCAGGTTAATCTTTCTTTGTTTTCCATCTCTTCTAGCAGTACTATCTTTTCTTCCTAATAAAATTTTCATTTCTGATCCAACCCCCTCCCCCCAAACAGACATGTTATTTTCCCAGTTAAACTGTATGAATGAATCCTTAAAACATGGAGAAAAATAAAAGAAATTATGTTATTGAACTTACAAAAACCAGCCACAACCAATACCACAACAAGGAAGACGGCGCTCTCTTATAGGTCTTCCTTCAGCAATTGCATAACCTACAATGGCATCAAACAATATTAGAACCTGGAAAGATCACATGCATAACAAAGATGCAAATTTTCATATTCAATTCAAGGTTCTCTTTGTGGTGTCAATGATTGATATAGAATTTTCATAAACCATACATGCCCACTTGCATTATTGTCTAATCAGTGTAACTTCTAAAGTGACCATTTAATGCTAGATCAAAATTTCCACTTATGGTAGTTACATTTCTCGCCCTACATAGGAAACATATGGACATGAATCTTTCATCTGCAAGTGGGAACTACTTTTCAGGCCATTCATGATCCCATTAGGGCTGTGTACAATAATCTAGACACCAGATAAGTGGAGAAATCACTCCTGAAGAAACACAGAAGTCAAGATGTTAGACCTTTCCCTCTTTCCAGTTTATCTTCTGAAAATGAATAACCTAATGAATAGAGTATGCAAGAAATTACGTATCCTACAGACAACCTACTTGCCACATTTTTCAGACCAGAGGAGAACTTGTTAATAATACAATTTGGGTTAAATATCCAAGATCATACATGGCAGTAAAGAATTAAAACTTTTTAATCCCTAGAAAGTGATGAGACCACACCCCTATACTTGAATCTTTTCCAAGCTATAAAAAGGTTTCTAATAAGATGTAATAAACTTAAAGAATGTAACCTATCAAAAGAAAAAGAAGAACCTGAAAGAAAGTAATTGAGGTGTTCTCAAGAAATAAATAACCAAGGAGCCCAAAAGAATTCTTCTTGTACGAAGACACAAAGTTTGATGGAAACTAAGGAAGAGGTTTAGAAATAAAGGTGACCAACATGTGCAGTTACACAAAAGTTAGTTTACTAGAATTACAACTAGTTTTTGTTCAATAAGGAGATGAAGCATTTTTCAGAATTAAGATCTGCCAATTTGCTTAAAGCATTTGTTAATTCATATAAACTCCAGCAAGAGAACTTCTCTGTGTTATCAATTTACTAAGCTCCTCACATAAATATTCAAACCCCCTCCTATTAAACCTTTGGTTGGAAGATGAGAGTTTGACTCATTTCACACTCAACCCACAGATCCTGTTTCATAGGTTGACCAGTGAACCGGTTGTTAGACAGTTTTTGTATGCCCTTAGCTTCAATCCGATTTGAGGTACTTTTGTTATTTAGTGGAAATAAATAAAGTGCATGTTTGATTCATGTTGTTTGGTTTAATTCTGTATAAAACCCTAAAACTGGACACTTATAGAGATTCGTGTTAGTTTTAAATGTTCACAGCCATTGGATAAGTCTGGGGAGATTTATCCTGCCAAGGCTGATAGTAGTGTGCCACCAAGTGTTGGGATGGCCTGTCTCGGCCACCAGGGTAAGACCCATGGCACATACAGTATGGGATTACTCGAATCCTTGAACCGGACCAGATTTCCAGTATTGCCCTAGACCTTGGAGACAGATGGGCAAAACTGGAAAGTTACACCTGA